AAAATATTAAATCACCAAACAAGAAATCCTCAAAGAAACAACAGCCCGAAAAATAAGTGGGCTAAAGTCTTAAAGAGAAACTTCTCTGAAGAGGAAAAAAGGATGGCCAATAGGCACCTGAAGAATTACTCAACCATTCTAGCAATAGTAATGCAAATCAAAACAACATTGAGATACCACCTCACCTCACGTAGAAAGGCTATAATCAAGAACTCTAATAACAACAAATGCTGGAAAGGACGTGGACAGAAGGGAACTTCACTGCATTGTTGATGGGAGAGTAAACTTGTTCAACCACTTTGTAAAGCAGAATGGAGGTTCCTCAAAAGTGTCCACATAGAGCTCTCCTATGAACCAGCAATTACACTTTGTGCTTTTACCCAAATGATCACAAACAAGACCATACTAAAGCTACCAGCACATCTATATTTTTTGCAGAATTATTTACCATAGCAAAGATATGGAAGCAACATAGATGTCCCTCAGTAGATGAATGGATCAAGAAAATGTGGTATATATACATAATGGAATTCTATGCCTCCATCAGAAAGAATGGCATGGCCCATTTATTAGGAAATTGAAACACTTGGAAAAAGTTATATTAAGTGATGTAAGCCAGGTCCAAATAAGTATAGGTCCAATGGTTTCCCTTATTTGCAGTAGCTAGTATATGTCTAAGACAAGCAGAAAAGTTAAGATAATTTGATGTTAGGTGAAATGGAAGCCAAGATAATTATTCAGATGTTTTTTGCTTTCATGCAATTGTTTCTAACATATTTATAACATGATTTTGTTTTTGTTTATATGTTCCTAACCAACGATATTACCCCTTCTTTCACTCTATTTGATGTTGGTATAATTTGTGGAGGGGAAGGGAAAAAACAATCGTTTAAATAGGAATACAATTGGACCCATTGCATTAATGAGATGTACAAATCTTTATGTCGAAAAATGAACTTTACAACTTTGTTGGAGTGGTGTAGGGGGGGCAAGGAGATATAATGGGAAGGGACGGGATGGAGAAACCAAGAGGAGGCAACAATGCTTGATAAGAAATGTACCCATTATCTTTCCCATGTAATTGTAACCCCTCTGTATGGAATTTTCAAAATGAAAAAATAGTAGAAAAAAATAAGAAAAAACAGGAAGAAAGAAGCAAGCATTTGTTTCTAACACATTTATAATATTATCTTTGTTGCTTTGTATGGAAAGTGTCAGTTTGGCTTCTATATTTTCACAGGTTCTCTCAACACCAATCTCTGGATAATTTTTATTCTTCCTTCCAAAAAGAATTATAATTTAAACAGCCAAGGATCTTCCGTATGAAGTTAAGGTACTTGAGTTATGGAGTCAATCCTTTCAGAGTGACTTAAATTTCTGAGAAGAGTTTTACATGAACAGGTATGATATCATATACCTGAATGTCATATATTATGGCTCAGATTTTAAATATTTTTATATGACACACTGTAAAATATTTCCTACTAAAGATGTCTTTATTCAGATGTTAATATTTCCTAGCACATACTTCATTCCTTCCTCGATAAATTTCGTTAATTAGAAAAGTATACTATACCCCATTAACCCGAATTAGGTGCCTGACATATAACAATATAGTTTCTATTTTTCTAGAAATGTTGTTAGGGAAGAGAATAATTAATTCCCTAGAACAAATGAACCATGGAAATAAGAGTGATGTAAAGCACTTTTATGTAGTTATAAACATTATGGCCTTATTTCAAATGAGTTAAAGGTTAAGAAAACAACAGCATCACCCTTCTATTGAAGCCTAACCGAATTACAGTGACTTTTATTATGAAAATCATAGCACTTAGTAATGGAACCTCCCCTTCTGTCTCTGGGCCAGAGTGGGTATTTCCATTGAGGTAGGCAGCCTTGCTGATGACGGACCTGATATCATGAACGGGAAAATGATTATGTCAGTACAACAATAATTGGCAACCCACATAGAGGAGGCACTGGAAATGACCACAGAAAATAAAATGTGTATTTGATGGAAAGGCTTACTGCTATCGTTGCTGAGTCTACTTATGTTTAGCAGAAAACTTAATGTAAGCACATAAGTTATCAATCTTACCATGTATACCTGATTATGTTATTCATTTTACTCTTGGATTAAAATATTACTCATATTCAGAGCTTTTCTGAATATTGGTTGTTGTCTCCGTAAAAGTTCATTTTCACATTTGATTTTCTAGGTTTGATTGAAATACCAGTCCAGGGCTGGGAAGGTGGCTCAGTGGTAGAGAACTGGCCTTGCATGACTGAGGCCCTGGGTTCCATTCCTTAGCACCACATAAGCAAAAAAAAAAAAAAAAAAAGCCGGAAGTGGCACTGTGTATCAAGTGTCTGCGCACTAGACTTAAGCTGGAGAAATGAGGGACAGTGCCTAGGCCCAGAGTACAGGCCACACGACTGGACACACACACACAAAATTGTGAAATACCAGTCCACGATACACTGAAGTATAGTATTGATTATATTATGGAATTATAACAATAATGCATGAATTTCTAACCTGATTTTCTGTCAACTCCCAAAATTTAAAAATTAATCTTTGGTAGGAAGCTCTTTAGAAATATTTCCTAGCAGTTATTTATACTCGGCAGACACTTATCTAATAATACTTGGGGAAGATGATATTATTCAACTGCAAGAATTTTCCTTTAACTTTACATTTTCGTATTTCCTGAGAATTTTCAGGCAAATTTGAACTGTAATCCACAGTGTAGAAATGTTTAATGACATCCATTAAAAATGTAAAATTTGAAAAAATATTTTATTAGAAATTTGTTTGTAAAAGACATAATAATTTTCCTGTGAAATTTGCCTCCTTATCCTTCATATTCTATGCATCAAATAATACCACTGGAGTAATTGAGCACAAATTATTAAATTTCACTTTTAAAATTTATATTGAATTAATATTGGGAAATCTTCATTTCTAAAAGAGGATTTCAAAAATTTAGTTCTCATATATATGTACTATGCCCTGAGAAAGTATTTCTATATTTTTCATGTCAAGAGATTCCAAACACAGACCTAGTGAAGACATAGCTATGACCTTGATTTGAGGAAAGAGGTAAGCATTTAAACTTCTGAAATAATCGGTCCTATCAACTTGTAGCAACTATGGTGATAGAAATACAGTAGGCAAACACATTTTCTGATAAAGTGGAAAATAAAAAAGCACAGACGGAACAGTAATGAAGAAAATATCAATCAGGGTTGATACTAAGGTTTTCCAATTACCTATTTTGTGAAAAACCTAACTAATTATCAATAACCACATAGTTATTGACAATTCTGAGAAAGGAAACATTTCATAAATAAATACCAATCGAGAAACAAATCACAAAACAATCTTGTGTTAATTGAATATTGGAAAATTAGTGACATTTTATATTACATCTGTACTATTTGGAATTATTTATTCATTTAATTAATGCATTGCATGGGAAAGGACAATGATTAACTGGATATCCTACAATGTAACTGCCCTGGGAGAACACACGAACTATTCAAATCACATTCCATAGGATCTAGGTTTCCTGAAGTTAATGAAAATTATACTCATATATTCTATCTTTGGTTGTCCGTGTTGTGTGCATCTGACTTAAGAAGAACATCACTATGTGAGTGGATATAAAATACTCCCGATTTTCTCTCTGAATTTCCTAGAGGGAGAATCCCCAAAGTCAGTTTGCTTGGGATTTTATATGTGTGTGTATAATTATATATTATATATATTTATATATAATATTTATAATTAATATTATTTCCCAATTATAAACATAGCCCACACTGTTTCAAGTGACTCCAAAATATTCAAATATTTTAACCTCACATCGAATATAACTGGCAGTTTAAATTATAGTTATTTCCAGAAGGAAGAATGACAATGGTCTAAATTGTTAAGTGATTGTGTGAAAATACAGTGGCCAAATTAATTCTTTCCTTTTTTTCAATTATTGTTTGAATCATTGATTTGCTTTTATTTCCCCTTTCTTTAACCTTGAATATTTTTTAATTTATTTTTTATTGTGAAAATATTGTACAGAGGGGTTACAATTACATGTGCAAGATAGTGAGTATATTTCTTATCAAGGATTGCAGTCTCCTCCTTTGTTTACCCTTTCCAACCCTTCCCCACCTCCCCAGCCCCCCACTTAATCCTCCCCACCACCACCAAAGTTGAAAATTTGTTTTCGACATGACAACGTGTATTTCTCATTGTTGCAAGGGGTCCACCTGTATCCTTATTTAAACGACTTGTTTTTCCCCTTCCCCTCCACAAATTATACTGACATCAAATACAGTGAAAGCGGGGGTTATACTGTGGGGGAGGGACATACAAAGCAACAAAGAAATCATCTTATAAATGCTTTAGAAACAAATGCATGAAAGAAAAAGAAACATTTAAATACATATCTTAGGGTTCATTTTCCTAACATCACCTTATCTGACCTTTTCTGCTTGACTCATACATATACTAGATATTGTAAATAAGGGAAACCATGGGACCTATGTTTCTTTGGGCTTGGCTTACTTCACTTAATATTTCCACTTTCCATTTCCTCACAAATGGAGCAATGTCATTCTTTTTGATGGAGCCATAGAATTCCATTGTGTATATATACCACATTTTCTTGATCCATTCATCTATTGAGGGGCATCCGGGTTGGTTCCATATCATAGCTACGGCAAATAATGCTGCAATAAACATAGTTGTGCTGGTAGCTTTAGTGTGGTCTTGTTTGTAAACATTTGGGTAAATGCCCAAAAGTGGGATTGCTGGGTCATAGGGGAGCTCTATGTGGAATTTTTTGAGGAACCTCCATACTACTTTCCAAAGTGGTTGAACAAGTTTATACTCCCACCAACAATGAAGTAAGGTTCCCTTCTGTCCACATCCTCTCCAGCATCTGTTCTTATTAGAGTTCTTGATTTTTGCCATTCTAAGTGGGGTGAGGTGGTACCTCAATGTTGTTTTGATTTGCATTTCTTTTATGGCTAAGGAGGTTGAGCTTTTCTTCATGTGTCTATTGGCTATCCTTCTTTCCTCTTCAGAGAAGTTTCTCTTCAAGTCTTTAGCCCACATATTTATTGGGTAGTTGTTTTTTGAGGATTTGTTGTTGGGGGATTTAATTTTTTGAGTTCCAAGTATATTTAGATATGAGACCCTTGTCCGTTGTTTGGCAAGTGAAGATCTTTTCCCAATCAGTGGGCTCTCTATTGATCTTGCTAGCTATGTCCTTTGTCATGCAGAAGCTCTGCAAATTCATGCAATCCCATTTGTCCAACCTTTCTTTGATTTGTTGTGTTTCCGGGTTGATTTGCTTTTTTTGTGAACTGTGTTAATGTATGTATACTTAACACTTTCTCTGTCTGTGTCAATTTCTTCGTGTAATTCTCTCTTATGCATATTCTCTCTTATGCACATTTCTGAAGTATTTGATTTGACATTGTACAATCTTGTTTGAACTTCTGCCACCTAGGTTGAAAAACAATATTTTTCATACATTACTTATGGAAGCATCCATGTTACCATTATTGTTATATGATTAACCCTAATATTCATATGTGCAGCATGATTCCTTCAATATTTAAAATAAATCATTTTTATCTGACACTTTCCTACACTCCTCTCTTCTTATCATGCAATTAGAATAACCACTAATTTCCCTAAAACCTAGAGGGTTCACAAATATTGATGTTCCCTTTCAGCACAGTTCTGAAGACACAGATAAATCAAAAAGATTTTTACCAGGAGTACCCTACCCTGCGATGTTCACGTGAACAGTGATATTAATATTTTTATGAAAAAATGGTTCTTTCTTCCTATATCTTTCCCCATTATCACTACATACTGTGACTGTTATTACTTTCCAAACATTTGCATGTTTCACACTTCTTGGTGGAAACAGCAATTCTCTGATTACACAAAGGGGCTGTGTTAAATATGATACATCTTTTGTAATTATGTTGAAGATTTTTGTAATATAGTACTTGAAAATTTTTGAATGTTCACATAATTCTTGAATGAATTCATCTTAGCCTTCTCATCAAAGAATATACATTCCGTCACAGAGTGATGTGCAGGAGTTTAGGAAATGAACAAAGAAGTACAGAAGTTATATATAATGATGAATAAAGTACTTCTAAAGTTAATAAAGTTCTATTTTATTTCTTTATCATAATCTGACATGAGTTTTGAATGTCTGACTTGCTGATAGTACACACATGTTATCCATGTGATGTATGTACAAACTTTATAAAACTTTGGGGAGGCTTGTGTGTTCACCATGAAACAAGGTTTGAAAAGTTAAAAAAGATAAAATTATTGCCTGCTCAAATAAAACCATCACATAATTTGGCTGAAGATTGCAAATTCATAAATTTCAACATATTTTCATGCATTTTTAACATCATTTGTCTCCTGTTCTTTTGGAAGGATTAAAATTGAAGATCTGAACATTTGGTTAAAACCAGTTGACTAAAGAGACACAAACATTTATTGATTGATTGATCATATTATGAGATACTGAATTTGACGATGTAATAACTGGCATGAATTAAAATCGTTCCAATTCTCATTTCAGCCACACTTAGTTCATAATCATCAGGGCCAATACTTAGGATTTCCACTCCCATAGTAAGAACAGCATGAAGAACAGATGGAGATTAATTATTGAATATTAAGAAAATAAGGGAACAAACAAAATATATGAACTATGAAGAAGAAAGATGTCATGGAAGATTCTATATCTTTCTATCTCTTTCAAAGAGCAACAGGAAAAAATAAATACCAAATATCATTTTCCTTCAGATCAATGAAATTTTTGTTTTTCAACAATGGGTCTTTTTTTGTTAGTTGAATTAAAGAAAATTTACAATCTTCTTGTGTATAATTTGGATAAATGCTAAGAACTCTATTAGCTGTGCATTGTAAAATTACTGATTTGCAATAAGTACAAACTACCCAAGATCATATCAATACATGAAATCCTGGAAAAGATCCCTCTTCTTTTTTTATTCCTCTACCCCCCAAATATTTTCCTCCTCCCCCACATCATCCTGTTCTTCTTCCTCCTCTTCTTCCTTTTCCTGCTCTTCTTCCCCCTCCTCCAACTTTCCTCCTTCATTCCTTACTTCTTCTCTTCTTCATTCCTTACCTCTTCCCATCGTTCCCTTTTTCCCTTCTTTCCTTCTTCCCATTTTTATTCCCTTCGTCCATCTCTACCTTTTCCCTCTCTACTTTCTTCCCTCCTACCCTGCCTTCCTCATCCTTCCCCTCCCTTCCCTTCATGTCTTCTTTCCATCGTATCTTCCTTCCTTCCTTCCTTCTTTCTTTCCTACATTCCATCCTTTTCCCTTTTCTCCCTTTTTAAATTTCCTTTTTTTCCTACTCTTATTTACTATCTATCTCCTAAAATCCATGCACCCATCATTTCCTTGTTTTATTTTCCCTGCCCCTCAATATCCCACCACACCATGAAGATGTCAACTTCATCTTATGCCTTGGGACTTGAAATTGGGTCTGGGATTGGAACTAATGTCTTGTACTTTTAACTCAAAGACTAGGACTTAAACTCTTGAACTCATATCCTGGGCATGATATTCTAGACCGAGATTTGAACCCACAAACTGGGCTTTGAATCCAGGGCCTGTACTTGATTTCAGGGTCTGAGAATAGAAATCACAGCCTAGTGAACTAGTGCTTATGACTAGATCTCTGATCCTAGGCATTTAATTCACAGCCATTTGTTGAAGTCAGCTATGGTCCTTAAACTCAAGCCTGAGCCTTGAATTTATGTCCTGACATTTCAGGTTCTTACCTGAGATTGAACTAAGGGCTTGTGAACTGGGGTGCTTGCCTTAAATTCAAGACCTGGGACTTGAACTCACATATTGGGACTTTAACTGCAAGCTGGGTCCTTGAATTAATTGCCTATGCCTTGAACATTGGGACAGGATCTGGCACTCATTTCTAGGCCTTGAATTTATGGCCTGGGTCCTGACAATGGGGATTGGAAATTGAGCACACTGTCTGGGCTTTGAACTAGGTGCTTGGTGTTTTCACTCAGTTCAGGGCATTGAATTCAGTGACTAGGTCTTGAATAGGGGTCATGGGTTTTGAATTTGGAGAATGGACAATGTTCCTGATAGTCTCTGTGCTTAAGGTTTGTGCTTAACCACTCCAGACTAGGCTGTTTTTTCTGTTTTTCTTCCATGGTGGGATATGGACTTTTATTTTTTTTATGATAAATCTCCCTTTTCTCCAAGAGAAGAAATTCCACCTGACTTCAGGTTACTTGCATTTTGTTGGCTAGTTTGTTTCCCCTTTACATTTTAGTATTTCCATTTATTTGAAATGTATATGTGTGTGGAGGCTGTATACACTTATATGCTTTTTATGGAAAGTCAAGAGAGTGGATTTTCAGGTTTTCCAGGCCCTCTGTGGTTATAAGTTGGTGGACAGGATACTGAGGCAGGTGTGCACCAAAAAGAAAAATAGGGATAGCCAAAGTATGAACCACACGCAGGCATAGAGGTGCATGTGTGTGTGCACACACACAAGGCAGAGAGAAATTTCTAGAACAAGGCCCAGCTTTGCACAAAGTGTTCTTACAATGGCAGCTCCATTTACTCCGTGTTGGGGTTGCTGTATTCAAATTTTCCCCACACATCCTTCCCCATATCGAGAGGCCTGATTGCCCGGCTGTAGGAAGATCAAATAGCTCCCAAACATACAATCCAGGATTTGTTCTGTTGCTGTGGTTTACCTGATTGTTCCCTCTCAAGGAAGACCATGGATTGCAGTGACCAGCTCTTTGTGAAGTGGAAGTATCTCTTCTCTCTTTACTTCTTTTTTGTTGTCCTCCTCCTCTTCCTCCTCATGAATGTTGTTGGTTTGTTTGTTTGGAATCTTTCCTAAGGAATTACTTCTTCCATGGAGCATCAAAGTTCCTCACTTGCGGAAGAGAAGTGCATAGAGGAGGCCAATGGTGGTATGGCAGATTTATTCTTGTATGTTCCTTTGCATGGCATGGGCCAGGCCTGGCTGATTGTCTCTATCTTGCCTAGCTGGAATGCAGCCTCAGGGAGAGGGGACGAAAAATCCAATCAAGTAGAAGAAAGGAAGAGAAGGAACGAGAGTCAGAGGAAAATCAGGAGCAAAGGGGATCAGGAAGATGAAGGAATAAAGGATGAAGGACAGGGAAGGAGGGAGGAAGGTGGAAATGGAAGGCAAGAAAATTTGGGAGGAAGGAGGCTGGGGATTAAAGATGCTAGAAGGGAAAAGAAAAGCAAGGAAAGAGAGAAGGAAGGAGGGAAGCGAAGGAGAGACAAAGAAGGAAGATGAAAGGAAGGGGAGATCAGGCTAGGAAGAAGGAGGGTGCAAAAAGAAAGGAAAGGAGGAAGGGAGAAAATACAAATAGAAATAAAAAGGAAAAAGGAGTGAAGGGACGAAGAGAAAGGGCAGAAGGAAGAAAAGGAGGAGTAAGAAAAGAAGGAAGGAAGGAAACAAAACGAAAGGAGGGAAATGAGGAAAGAAGTAAGAAGGAAAGGTCAGAAGAAGGAATGTGGGAAGGAAAGAGGATTAAGGAAGTATGGAAGTATTGGGGTCAGGAAGGAGGGATTTTAAGAGAAGGAAAAAGGAAGAAGGAAGGAAGAAAAGAAGGAAGGGAGAGAAGAGGGAAGACAGGATGAAAGGGAATGAGGAAAGAGGAGAAAAGGAAGGAAGAGAGGAAAGAAGGAAGTAGGGAGCGAAGGAAGGAAGTTAGGATGGAAGGAATGAAGGATGGAAGGAAGAATGGATGGAAGAAAAGATGGAGGAAGGAAGGAAGGAAGGAAGGGAACAAAGGAAGGAGAAAGGGAAAGAAGGAAAGAAGGAAGGAAGGAAGAATAAAGTAGGGAAAGGAAGGAGTAAAAGAAAGGAAGAATGACTTAGTAAATGAAGTAGTCAAGTAAGAAGAAAGGAGAGAATAAAAATGGTAGGGAGAAAGGAAAGAAGAATGAAAGGAGGG